ATATAACTTTCTCAATATTTTTATGTATTTTTCATTAGTTTTACCTTTGAATATTGTTTAAGAATGACTATATAAATATTTACATGCCTAGAAATGTATAAAAATTGGCATATTTATTAACTTTGAACTCCCATAACTTTTTATGGGGGTGAGACCGCCACGAACTTTTTATGGTACAGTGGTGGGGGAGACCTCTTTTGATCTCCCCCACCCCCGAAGAACGAAAACAATCATCTAGACCTTTACCATTTGGTCGAAACGTGGTACGATACCCACGATACTGTAAAGAAAAGGTGGAGTAACGAAAGTGTTGAATGTCGTTTAAATGTGCACGCTGGCTTTGAAGCATTTAATTTATTATATATAAATATAACATACATAAATATACATACAATTATATTCTGGTAAATAAGATTTCCGCATTTGTCCATTTCTGTTATCATTATCTGAAAAATAATTAGAGGTAGAAAGGTATGGTTCCGTATTTAAGCCGGTTTCGATTTTTGTCGGTTCCGTATCAAAATCACCGAGCTACGCAATTTGCAACTAACGATAAGTCATGTTTTTTGAAGTGAAAACTTCTTTAGACGCGTTTATTGCTGAGGAGTGAACGTAAGCACACACCATTTTTATTAATGAAATGTTTTAGAAATTAAGACAAGTATGATTACTTATTTTATTAAATGCGCTATAGAGTCTTCCGAGCTCCTGTAAATTTTGCGGGGAAATTTTGTGGCGCGCAATCCGCGGATATTGTTAAAATGTTGTTCTAGACTAATTCCAATATTCAACTCAATATAGTGCTTAGGCTATTAATAGTAAGCCATCGTTGTTTGGTAAACATTCTTCCACCGGTCAAAATGAAATGAATAATCTGTATCTATATCACATTTAAAAGCATGCTATTCGTAACAACTACTGATATCACGGCGGTAATTTAAATTCGTTTCATGCATAAGTATTCAATCATATGGGGCAGTAGTGTGGAGAAATATACAAAATCTAAATTTTAGCCGTTGATAGATATGATTGTATATTTGCAATTACTTTTTATTATCAACAACTTTTCTTTATCAAGGTTTCAGTTATTTTCAAAAATTAAGGGAGTTTACTGCTACACAAATTTCATGTTTTATGCTAAAATTTATATATGATTATGTCATTATGTGTATTAGACCATGCAGGACTTTTGATAAAGAGCAACTTTTTTTTGTAAGATTAATAATAAAAAATATTCCCATTAGCTGCCAACTTAAGTAGACAAATTGTATAATNTTGAACTGTTTAACTGTTTTCCCAGAACGCAGGTACGACACACACATTTACAAATACGGCGCACATGAAGAATGGCGTCCGCGGCTACTCGGCGAATCCATAAGTCGTCCACGCACACGTGTGCCCGCCACACACAAACATGCTCGTGCTCGCTAAATATATATACATATATATATATATATACACGTTTACGTTCAGCTTTATTTTTACTTTATTACTTTATATTTTGACAGTAAATAATTATACCAATTTGATTTTATTTGTGAACAGGTTAATTCATAATACTGATTGTAGACACAGCGGTACGCACATTTCGCCACAACCTTTGGCCGGTGCTGCACGTTTATCACCCCAACATCACCTTGCTGCTGCGGGCCAGCCCCTTTATCATCAAACTGATCTTTATCGTCGTCCGGCTGTATATGTGACGACGACTCAACCTGCATATCTACCTGCTACTCATCAAGTAGCACCTACTGGGTAAGTCAAATTTTACCATTTTGCTCCTGTTTACCATGAGGTATAATTTTTAATTCTGTTGTGATTCCTTTCTTTTCTTCCAAAATGAGATGTTTCTTGGCTTTCAAAATATTTTTTTACTTATTAAAAAAACATATATCAAAGGAAATTCTTGAATTTTTTAAAGTCTATTCATTAACGATTGAGTTGTGGGCGTCTAAAGTTTCAATTATTATTGTATAGAAAAAAATTGAGTTACATAATAACGTGAATAATTAAATAGTAAACAAATAAAAAAAATTCTCGAAATTTGGAGTTGTTTAAACAAAAAAGAAGTTTCAATGTATACCTATATAAAACATTTTGGGGAAGAAGTTAATATTTAATTATTTTTTTAACATTAATGTGAAACTAATTTTGTACTTTCTACAGATTATTTTAAATTAATGAGAAAAAAATTGTTACTACTGTCATGCTGTCGCCCGGAATTGTACCCGAGTCGCTGAGTTACGGACCAACGTTCTGACCACTATGTTACAAAAGCAATTTTTCGTCTTTAATTTGAGGTGATCTGCAGAGGGTAGAAAATTAATTTTACTTTAATGTTTAAAACAATTAAATATTAACCTCTTAAAAATTTTTTCATATATTGTTAATAATGTAAGTTGGTTTCGACTATTCTTGTGACCCGATGTATATGTGTTGTCGTTGTAGTGGCTGTAGCCTCTTGTAGCTTAGTGGTCAGAGCATTGGCGTTTAAAGCCACGGACGTGGGTTCGATTCCTAACGAGGGTGTGACGATATCATTTGCAGTGTAATGACTCGGATATTCAAACCGGAATTGTCTTTTATTAATCGCAAAACAATTTTGTCAATACCAACCTGTTTTCTTTACTGACCTTCACTCCCTCGGTGTGGTACCATCGTTCCTGTGATGTATTCTCATTGCCATGACTTCATATTCTGCGTGCGAATACATTGTGTTTTGTTTGATATTTTTAAAATAAACTAATTTTTGTACTTTGTCAATAAAACTGTACTAATTGTCATTACGTTCAATTGGCCTGACTGCGATAATATAACACGACCGCCACAGTTTTTGTACCCTCTACGTTGGGGTACTATCACGAGATGCACTCTACAGTGCCTCCAGATGTTACACTCCAAATACTCCGGAAAACAGATCAGACAGTGTATTTACTAGCTTCTATAAAACAGAGAATCAGTTGATAGAAAAAAGGCTGGCTAAAGACCTACGAAAGGACAATTGTATATTTGATTTTTGAATACCACATTAGAAAAATAACTAAATTTTACAGTCACTGGCAAACTTCTTGTAAAACGTTTTTTTAAATAAGCGTAAATAAAGTAAAATTGCATTACATTGTAGTGAATGAATCAGTATTCCAGCAGTAAGAAATGTTGAGACGAACGATGCTCGTGAGTGGGGTTGCTGGTCTACCAAGAGAAAATCAGCAATCCATTTTAACCGATTGGTACCATATGCCGTTTACAATCTTAAATTCCTCGGATCATAATTAAGGTCTTGTCCGGATCCCCCAGACCTACTGCTGGCCCCTTAATATCATTAAACTAGCCATGCCAAGAACAAGATGTGGGTTGGATGGGATAGTTCGGAAAGTATTTCGAAGCATCTTAGATGTTCTGTTTCGATAGACTAGAGTGGAAATATTCACTGACAAACCACGAGGGAACAGGTAAAAACAGTGGATATCTATAAAACCTTTAGATGCCATAAAGGCGAGACATGAAAGTACTCATGATCCTTCGCAGCAACGGCGAAATACGGTCTGCGAAAATTATATTTAAGGAGGAGACAGTGTCTTGAACGAATGCCGCAGGCAATCAATACTACAGCACCTTCGATGCACCCGAAGTCTAGCAGCCTCAGGTGGTAAATCATGCAGTGAACGAGATTGGGATGACAAAATGAACTTCCTGGAAATTTCCGAAAATAATCATGATGTAAGAATAAATAATAATGTATCCGAGGGAGAACAGTGGATGCAACAGATAATTCAAGACCATTGATACAAGTAGTGTGCGAACAAGAAAATTAAACAGTGAAATAAATGTACAGTGACATAAATAGCCGATTGTAAGTTTAATAACTGTGTATACTACAACTGTTTTTAAAACATCCACGTTTACAAACTTTTATTACCTTGACGATCGTTTCGTCACTTTGTGGTTTCTTCAGAAGATACACTAATTCTTTATAACTGCATAAACGGTTTCTGTGATAAACTAGTTATAAACGAGACTTATTTAAATAAGTACATGTACCGGAAAATTCGTTACAATATAACATTCTGCTTGGTATATAACGAGATCCATAGAATATGAAAAATTTTCAGTCATGATTTTATTTGATTATACATAGCTGTGTGAATTTTCTCAACAATTCGCAATGCTGTTGTGAAAGCAGTTAGACTTAATGTTTTTTTCCATTTTTTACCTTTTCATATGTTGTAGTTTATTTATAAAATTAACCGACTGCTAACAATTTACGGATACAAAAATAGAAAAGGATATTTAATAGAGATGTTCCGACTATGACTTTGGCCGACTAGCCGATTAATCGGTTTTAATGAGGCCGACTAGCCTGTCGGTCAAGCCGATCACGGTTTCGGGGATATTCGGCAATTTCCATGATGCTTCGTTTACAGCTTATTTGAGCGCAAGTTTTGCTTATTTCGCATTGTTTCTTGATTTTCGCTTTTGTACGGGTCACAATAGTATTTTTGTGTAAAAAAATAATACTTTTCTTGTTCATTAAAGTGAAAGAGCTCAATTACAATTTAATGATGTCAAAAAGACAGTCTCGCACATGGACTTTTTTTTACCAATTGGACAATGATTCTTGTAAAGTCAAGTGTAAGCAGTGTCAAAAGATAATTCTCTTGGTGGACAGGTAAAAACAGTAAATACTACAAATATAAACAACAATATCAAATGCGGAAATCCAACCGTAATACCTTAATTAGGTTCTCTATGATCAAATGCTCGACCACAGACTATTCCTTCCAGTCGCAAATCCAAGTCTGTTAATAACACAAATTCGTACTCTTTTATTTGAATAAGAAGAATATATTTGTCAATATTTATTGATGAAGATAAGACGATATGTGTAAGACTGATTTTAAAATAATAATGTTAATTAACAATCAAAGTTTTTAGTTTGTGTAATTCCTTATATATACAGTGTATGGAGAAATACATATAAAGTAAGAAGCCGGATAGTCGGCGAGCTTTCCGAATAGTCACCGACTACGAAAATGGCGGAACATCATTAATATTTAACGTTGGTTTCACAATTATCTGTTTCTGTTAGATAACATCTTAATAATTATGAATCTGCTCTTCCTTTTTTCTTCGTTTTCTCCTTTATTTCCTTTTTCATTAAAATGAAAACAACGAAAGCAAAGAAAATTATGAATATACCAAGCAGAATGTTGTATTGTAACTAATTTTCCCATACTTCTACTTATTTAAATAAGTATTGTATTTATGGCTGGTGTATTTATCACAGAAACCGTTTATGCAATTAAAAAAAATTCGAGTATATTCTGAAGAAATCACAAAGTGGCGTAACAATCGTCAAGGTAATAAAAGTTTGTAAAATTGGATGTTTGGATAGTCTTCACTGTAATTTATTTTAATTTCAATATAATTTTGTGTAATATTTGGACTTCCATTAAATATCATCCCAGAACTTATGACATCATCTTTATTTTTTATATACACTATATAACTAGGTGAATCCAAGTCATAACCTATAAAAACTCCTTCTTCTGATTTTTTATCCATCTTCCTCTTGTGATCTTGAATAAGGACATAGCATTCACTTCCAAATATTCTTAATTTTCTGACATCAATTTGACGACCAAACCATAATTGTGCTGAAGTTTTGGGCTTTACACTACTGGTGCCAGTTTGTTAAACGTAATAACTACATAATACATAGCTTCAGCCCATAAATTTTCATCAAAACCTTCACTATGAATTACTGATCTTACTCCCTCTACAACAGTGCGCATCTCACGTTCAATGCGACCGTTTTGTGGCGGAGTATATGCACATTTTTAGAATGCAGTATAGCTAATTCTGTTAAAATCTGTTTTGATTCCTTATTAAGCTGATTTTCTACCATTTTTATGTATATATCTAGTTTCTTAACAACCTCATCTTTAGTTTTAAGAAAATAAACAGTTCTGAAGTGTGAATAATAATCTTTCACTAAGAGAAAATACTTTGCTGCTCCTAGTGATTTAAATATTCATTTCTCCTAAATCTACATGAATGAGATCTAAATTTTTCTTAGCTACTTTTGAATTTTCTGAATATGAAACTTTGTGCTGTTTACCGTAGACACATACTTCACAGACCTAGTTATCCTAGTCGTCAATGTAATCTACATTATTTAATTTCACAACTTCTTTAACATATTTCAAATTTTGGTGAGCTAACATTTCATGCCATATTTTGACAGAGATACCAATTAAACACTTGACTATTAATATTTAAATTACTACTTGACTGTACTTGACTTTTCATACATGTTTGACTAGTTACTTTTTCTTCACGGAATAAAATCCTGAATAAGTCCTCTTCACGCTCAGCTACGAATGCTATTTCATTGTTATTATCAAGAAATATAGACTTTTCTGAGTTTGCACTCTGTACATAACGCCTATCTAAATAAATATCACCTATACTAGTTGCTTCTAATTCAGTGGCATCTCCTATAACTATATGTACAGGATCATCTAAACTTTTATAAGTGATAAATAAATCTCTGTGACGTCATGTGCTGTGTAGCACCACAAGTCTTGATACCACACTCTATCACTCCTATTCACTGACTGAATATTCTTAATATTAGCACTTGATAGAGCTACAGTGATACAAATACTTCTTTTTTGGTTACTTTCTTGAATGTTTTGATTTCTTTTTGGGCATTCTTTAGAGAAGTGACCTTTTTCTTGACAATGATTACA